TCTTTATTTAGAGGCAATCTGAGCAGCAGGAGTATCCAGGAGTATCCATGGAGGCACTTGTGGGTGTGGGAGGAAAAGGGTGGCTGACACCTGCAATGGCTACGGCCATATTTGCTGCTTTTCCTGTTCTTGATGAGTTTATGGCTGCTGGGAAGAAAGGAGCAGGAACTGTGTGGAAGCAGCACCCTTTGGACAGGTACTTTGCAGATGTTGCTACTCTGTCTGAGCACCTCACCATTGCCAAGTGCCCCCTTAGCCAAACTGGAAATCTCTGGGATGATTTCCTGCTGTCATTCCTGGAGTGTCAGCAGTGCTGGGGCAGCAGGTTGGACCGTGCTGGAAGGATGTGGAAGTGTCAGCAAGGCTGGTTTAAACCCAAAAAGCAGAATGCTGTGCCCAAGACAAACAGCTGAGGGACTGTTGTGGCTTAAAGGGTTCATTATGGCAGTGAGATCTGCAGCAGCAGTGCCCTCCAAGCCACCGCGGATGTCACCTGGGGCAGAAATTACCTTCTGTGTGTCTCAATTTTCTCTTGCCAAGAACTTTTTCATGCAATCACTCCCCTGCCTAACTCTAAGAGTTGTGCATTCTGGTGCCTCTTAATAACTGTGAAAACCTGCTGGAATTAAAAGCAGGTACCTCAGGGTGCTACTGCTGAAGTACTTGTCATTCTCACAGCAGGAATAACGCAGAATTTTAAGCCACTGGGGGATGTTCCAGGGAGATAAACATCCGTTCTGAGCTCTTTTGCCAAGCTGCCTGTGAGATGTAAACAAAGTTGGCGTGTGTTTGAGCCGTGGCTGTGTGAATGCATCTCCACAGGAAAGAAAGCTCATTTAGGATCTCTTGAAACAAGAAACACCTGTTCGAAAGTCAGCACATGCAGAGAAAATAACATCCAAATATGCACATGCTGATGAGGCATCATACACATCTACATCAAAAGATTGGGTTGACTGGTCTGGCTTGGGAGAAATCTTTGCTAACTGGCCAAAATTCACACTCTGCCTGATGCCCTGGAATGTGGGCCTGGAGGGATTCCAGGAGCAGGACATGCCGCTCGGAATGTGCGGTATCATCCTGCCTCTGCACTGCCTTCATCTCCACTGCTAATGCAGACAAACTGGGGCTATGAAGTGTTCCTTCATGGCTCTCTTGTGCATCCTGAGGAGCACAGCTGCTCCAGGGAAAGAAAAGGTGTCTTTGATTTATGCTGTGGTTTAAAAAATGCTGTTTTGCTTGAAGCAAAGGGTCTGTCTTGTTGCAGTAACTGCAGTACAGCAGGGTGACAGTCGTTCATCTTTTATTGAAGTGCTGACTGTATTCTGGGAAGTGATCTGCTAAATCTGACTTGGAAATAAAATGCACCAGAGAACTGCAAAACACCAAGATTTCATGAACCAGCAGCTTGTCCAATTGATCACTTAAATCACTAGGAAACACTTTGGCTATGGTAAAACTGTTCCTGAGGGAATCCTACCCTGTGGAGGGCTTGGAGAGAGAGAGAGATGTCTTTGTTCTCCTTGGTGTAGTGTGTGGAGAGGAGCTGGAGAAGGCAGCAAGGCCTTTCAGCCTTCCCTGTGGCCTTACCTGCTCAGGTGGCTGTTGAAGAAGCTCACTTGTTCTTTCCATATCCAGAAGCTGTTCTCCTGTCTCCAGTGGTGATCCAGTGCTCTCTTTTCCAGATTTGATGGCAGAGTGGTGGCAAAGCTTCCATTCATCCCCCTCTCATACATCCAAGGTCTCTCCCACCGCAACCTCCTGGGTGAGGATTACACTGACTGCTCCTTCATCTTCCTCTACATTCTCTGCACCATGTCAATCAGACAGGTGAGTACACTTTCCCTGGAGCAGGGAAAGCATATCCCCATCCAGGAGGAGGAACAGTGCACGTGTAATCTTGGATCTGTTTGTGGGTTCTGTGTTTGTCTTCATTCCTGTGCCTCATATTCAAAGCAATTCTAGTTTGGGGTCACTAAAACAGTTGCTGTCCTGGTGGGCCTGGAAGACCTGGCTGGAGACTGGCACCAGGGCTCTGGGACAGTTGGCAGAAATGGATTCCTGACCTGTGTGATAACTTTGTGGATTGCCATGCCAAGAGATTGTCTCCATCAGAAGCTGATCTAAATCCTGCCCCTTAGTAATCACAACTTTTACATCAATATCTGCATCTTTACAAACAGCAGCTTCTTTAGGGGGAATTTTCTAGGGGGCTTGCAGCTCTATAAAAGTTTAATCAGTCCATAAAGTTGCTAGAAAAGTGAGGAAAGAGTTAAAGCTGCTCTTTTGGGTTTGTCCTTCCTATTTTTGCTGGCTGCCTGATTTTTCTCAGAGTCTTAAGAACTGTACCTTTGGTGTCAAGTCTCTCCCAGCATTAGGGATGTGGCACAGAGAGGGGGTCTGGTTTGGTAGGCCAGAGTAGGCTCCACAGAGCTCTCCAGCAGAGCTCCATAGTCCCATCTTTTGGAAGAGGATGAGGATATCAGTGAGGATAAGGAACATGTTCAGGAAGGTTCACTGGCAGCTCAAGTGGCAGAATGGCTGGTGAGGACAAGAGGGCCTTCTCAGTGCAACAAGAAGTCTATTTTGTTTTCCACTTTCTCCACAGGGTGTTTGGGATAGGTTAATATACTCTGGATGAATGCTGGTGCAACTAGCTGCAAATCACCTTCCCTTCTGTATTCATATTTCCCTTTTCTTTGATTCACTTCCTGAATTCTTGCTGCTTTTCTCCTTAACCCTCTTGTTGCCTTTCCTCAGGGGTGCCAAGGAAACTTAGGCTAAGGGACTTGGACTTAAAGCAGATCAGCAAAGGGAGGTGGTGTGTAATGCCAGGAGCTGGGCTGAGCTTGATGGAGCAGCTCCATAGCAGAGTTCCTTTAGTCACAGAGTGCATGCTGGTGGGTGGAATTCCCCATAGCCTTTTGTACTGGGTGCTTGTGCTGAAATGGATCCCAGTCTGGTCCTGTGCAAAAGCAGATAATGAATTGTAGAATCATTTATGCTAAAAGGGACATCTGGGGGTTCATCTGGGCACCCCTCACTCCAAGCAGGCCCAGCTTCACCAGAGGCAGGGGCTTCCTCACTGTCTTTGCTGCAAGACAAACTTTCACTTCCCAGTGGCTAGAGAAGGGTTTGCTGCTTTGAAAGCATGGACACATATTGAGCTCTTAAGATCACCTTGCAGAATTCTGGGATGCTGTGGTCTGATGCTGTTCCTTCAGGCAATCTTGGCTGGTGCATTTTGGAGAGGATACTCAGGTTTGAAGAGAATCCTTCCTCCTTTTGTTGTCTTGATAGCCAGCACTCAGGTGGTGACACGAGGAGGACACAGTTGTTTTCTTCTTTCCCCTGTGTCTCAGTGCAGGAGCAGCATCTTGAGCTGGAGTTCCTTACAGTGAAGGATGGAACTGAAGGAGCTGAGGGCTCTTTGTAGTTGCACTGTTGTGAAATTTAGAAGAAATTTCACAAAAATCAAGAAAAACATTCACATTTAAATATTTTGCTGTGGTTTTTTGGCTTATGCCCGGTTCTGCTAATTAGCTCTTCCCCTGTTTGTTGTTTTCCACTGAAACACCCTGCTCTGATGCAGATGAGGTCATCCCAATAGTCAGGTTTTGGGGTTTGCTCCATATGTCCTGTTATCCTGCATGTCTCCAGTGCCCCATTGTTCTGTGTGCAGCAATGGCATTCATGTTAATTCTGGGCCTAAGCTCCTGACTTGCACTTGGCACAGCTCTGGTTGCCATGCTGCTGTCCCAAATTCCAGCTGCATTAGGAGACTCCAGCTCCCATGGCCACCACCAGCAGTGCTTTCTGGAATTTGGGAAAGCCAAGGGCTGCACTCAGTGCCCGTGAGCGCTGCTAGGAACCTGCACTGCAGTTAAATTGCAGTGGTGTTTTATGTAAACTGTGTGTGTAAACACAGCCGACTGTGGGGTGTGTAGCTGAAAATGAGAAAGAATCCTTGTCCAAAATATGGATTTGGTGTTCAGGGGCTTTTGTTGAGGTGGGGAAGAATGGCCCAGCCATTCTTGTTTCCATGCTGAGCTGTTTGAGCGCATAGGAAGAGAGGTTAAGTATGTGGTAGCCAGATGGATTAAAACTATGTGGGAGAGAACCTGGATCTGTTGAAACAAGTGGGGAGGTTTTACTTGTGCTGCTGGAGAGAGTCCAGGAGAGCCACAGAGATGATTTGGGGTCTGGAACATCTCTAGAGAAGAGAGACTACAGGAGCTGGGCCTCTTTATTCGAAAGAGAAGATTGAGAGGGAATTTTATAATGTGAATATCTCAAAGGTGGGTTTTAAGAGGATGGTGCCAAAACTCTTCAGTGGTGCCCAGCAATGGATGAGGAGCAGTGGCCATGAACTAAACAACAAGAAGTTCCTCCTCAACGTGAGGGAGAAATTCTTTACAGTGAGGGTGGCAGAGCACTGGGAAAGGCTGCCTGGGGAGGGCATGGAGTCTCCCTCTCCAGAGACATTCCAAACCTACCTGGATGTGTTCCTGTCACCTGCCTTGGCTGGAGGGTTGGACTGCATGATGTCCAGAGGTTCCTATTCTGTGAGCAGAATCAGGATTTCTTGCTCTTTATTTCCCTTGTCACACTGACGCGCTGCGCTCTGTGTTGTTCTTGCAGAACATCCAGAAGATGCTCGGCCTTGCTCCTTCCCGGGCTGCCACCAAGCAGGCAGGAGGCTTCCTTGGCCCCCCACCTCAGGCAGGGAAGTTCTCCTGAAGCACAGCCCTCACGGGAAGCCTGACCCGTGCGACAGGACTGCCTTGGGGAGGTAACAACAGGGATTCTGCACCAGGCATCGCCTGTCTGAAACCCGGCTATGCAGTATTGACATCGTCATCCATTCGGAGTATTCCACCAGCACTTGTTCGTTCATCCAACCAAGAAACTTCTCTCGGAAGATAACGCGACCTTTGTTTCTGAGTAATAAACGGCATGGGCATGTTAATTTATGCGAACAAGGTCTCTTAATTGGGTGCTGGGGAGCGGGAGCGGCTGCCCGGCGTTCGGCACGCCCCGGGCGGGGCGGGCCCTGGCGGTGAAAAGGCGTCTGAGGGGGAGGCGGCGCCTCTCGGCCGCGGCGCCTCACGGGATCCGCCGATGCTGGCACCGTCCCGGCTGCCGAGCCTCCTCCTCCTGCTCCCCCGGCTGCGCTCCGTCGCTCCCGGCCTCGCCACCATGAGCTCCGCCACCGGCACCGTCACCGTGCAGCAGCCCCTCAACTACCGCGCGGGCGCCCGCGTCCAGCCCGCCGACGGCGGGCAGCTGGAGGAGGTGTTCGAGCCTGCCACAGGTACCGGGGCAGCTCCGGGGGCTGGGAGGGCTCCGTGCCTGCAGGGCCCGCTCTCCTCGGCTTTCCCCCAGCTCGCCCGGCTGCCGCCCCTGCTGCTCCCCAGCCGCCCTGCCGGAGTGGCTGCTCTGCCTCCCGAGTTTGGCCATCATCGTTCTTCGTGCAGGAATCAGCTCTGGCTCTGTCACTGCCTGATTTTGGCAAACTCCCGTGATTTAAATATCTCTATAATTGTGTAATTTAGTTATCGGTGTGTAGCGTTCAGCGGACTCGTTTCTAAGTGTTTAGCTCTCCTGGGGAATGTGTAACGAGGGTCTTGAAGAGGGTGGTAGAAGTGTAACAAACTCAACTGGAAAAGCCAGGGATTTTGTAGCAACTGGAGGTAATTAGTAACCAGAACACGACTGTGGGGAATGTCAGCTCTTTTAATTGGGAGCAGCTGAATTGTAGCCCCTCTTCTGTGGCTGATTACAAATCAGTGGGTTTCAGTGGGAAATTCCATGCCTGGTATAGGTGGCTTGACTGAAGTATGTGGGGTCTGGTGCAAGTAAACCACGTTCTGGGCCCCTTGTCTGAGATTTCCATCTCATTCATTCCCTGTTCAAAACGTGCCCAGGTCGTGTGCTGTGCAAGCTGCCCTGCTCTGGGGAGAAGGAAGTTGATCTGGCTGTGCAGAGTGCAAAAGCTGCCTTTAAAATATGGAGTCAGATGTCAGGCATGGAGCGGTGCCGAGTGATGCTGGAGGCTGCCAGAATTATTCGGGTATGTTGGGGGGGAGAGGAGTGGTTCTGTCTCTGAGCTTCCTTTTGGGTTATTGTGGCTCTTGGAGGCTTCAGCAGGACTTGCAGAGCTCCAGGAGTTGCTCAGGAGTTAAAACCCACCTTTGGCCAGAAGAGATGGGAGGCTGCCTCAGGCAGGGCTTTGCTCTTATCACTGGAGTCAGCATCCGTGCCTGGGGCTTTGGTCTTATCACTGGATTCAAGGCCAGTGTGTGCTTTCTCAGCTGAACTGTGTTAGAAGACATAAAACTGAAGAGACCCATTTGGCATCTTGCAGGGTTTGTGGTTCTTTTAACAGCTCCAAAGATTAAATTTCACTGCACACAGTTTCAAAGCTGAAATTGCATAACTGGCATGGCTGAACTTTTGGCATGTCGGAGGCTGTTGTTACATGATTGGAATGTGTCCTGGCAATAAGAGAAAGTAGGAGTACTGGTTTTTATCTATCAGATAATACACATGGGGAGGATGCACATAGTGAGGTTTAACACGGACTCCTTTCCAAGATAACAGGTCCTTGGGAATCAGAGTTAATCTCCATCAAGGCACAGATCTGTAAGAACCCAGACCTTCTTTCCCCAGTGTGTATGTGTCATGAGAAAACTTTCCTTTATTGCTTTTGCCAGACTTCCAGAGCAGGGTGATATTTCTGCCTGGGAGATGGACTGTTAAAGGATACTTCCCAGCTGCATTGCATTGTCTCTCTTCACTGGCCTCTGGTTCCATCCTGATCTTGCTGTTTGCTCTTCCCAGTTCAGTTCTGCGAATTCTAATCATTGTTTGCCAGCCAGCTTCTAAGTTCATGTTTGTTCATCTTTAAGATAAACAGGGATGTTAAACAAGACTGGACCAGCAGTGAACCCCAGCAGCTTTCCCTTTGACATTGCCCTGCCTCAGTCACCATTGATAAACAGCAGTTGGGAATGTCCCTTTTGGAGAAGACCATTTCTCATGGCAGGATCTTGTTTGGGACTTGTGTGCTCGTGGAGCAGCTGTCTCCTTGTGGGGTTCTGCTCCAGGCTTCTCTAACATGTTGTCTCTGTCCTGTGCCACTCACAGGAGCAGAGGGAGGAAATTGCCACCATGGAGACGATCAACAATGGGAAATCCATCTTTGAGGCCAGAGTGGACATCGACATATCCTGGCAGTGCCTGGAGTATTACGCAGGGCTGGCAGGATCTCTGGCGGGTGAGGAGTTACTGGAGTTTGCTCTTTGCTCTCTGTCCCACCTTCCCTGGTAACTCCAGTGGCACAAAGCCATCTTTGCTGCTGATTTCCCTGAGAGATGCACCATTCCTGAAGACCTCGGAAGGGATGTGAGAGGTCTTTGCCCAATGCTGTTATGGTCTGTGGCACTCGCACACCTTTTCTGAGCTTGCTGGGGTAAAACTGTGTCTCTGCTCCAGGCAAAGCCAGACCTGACCCCTGGGGACTCTGATCAGACAAGAAGGGGCTTTGCTCTTCTCTACCTTGTGGCTGTTTCTTTGCAGGTGAACACATCCAGCTTCCCGGGGGATCCTTTGGATACACTCGGAGAGAACCACTTGGGGTGTGTGCTGGGATTGGAGCCTGGAATTATCCTTTCCAGACTGCCTGCTGGAAGGCTGGCCCGGCCTTGGCTTGTGGTAATGGAGCCTGTCTGCCCACACCGGTGTCTCTTCAAAGCCAAGTGATCTTGTGGGGCAGAGTGATTTCTGGGATGAAGTCTATGATTACCTTGAAGTGTTGAAGGATTAACAGAGTGTTCAGGCTGTTACTCTGGCAGAAAGGGAAGGGAAATGGAAGGAGGAACATGTCAGATGTCAAGAGGTTAGGAGTCCATCCAGAAAAACACTGATAGCTTGGCTTTGTACCAGATGGGGAAGGTCTCTGGAAATGTCTGCAGGGCAAGACCAGCAGCCCCATCTCCCCAGCCTCTCCCCAGCAGGAGGGGCACCCTTAGTTGCAGTGATCAGCTGAAGGTGTTTTCTCTCAGGGGAAAACTTCTGGGGTCTGTTGAGGCAAACTCACAGTGTGGGATGGGGATTGTTTTTGTTTCTTCCCTGAGGCAGTTTGGGTGTTAACCCCACCTGCCTGTGTCTGGGTTCCCTTAGGCAATGCGCTGGTCTACAAGCCTTCACCCTTCACCCCTATTTCTGTGGTGAAGTTGGCAGAGATCTTCACAGAGGCTGGAATGCCCAAGGGGCTCTTCAACGTGGTGCAGGGTGGGGCTGCCACGGGCCAGTTCCTCTGCCAGCACCCAGATGTGGCCAAAATCTCTTTCACTGGCAGTGTGCCAACTGGCATGAAGGTAAAGACACCTTGAGACAAGGGCTGTATCAACTACAGTCAATCTTTAGTTGATACCTCCTTGAGCTTTTCTGCACAAGGCTTGTAGAGGTGGGGTGTGGGTCAGCATTTTTGGGCTGGGCAAGGAGCTTGCAGCATGTTCAGGGTCGTGCTGGGGATCCAGTTAACCTGCTGGGCACGAGCTTGGGAGGGAAAGCCCTTGGTCAGCTTCACTTGCTTAGCCCCTGGTGGCAGGGAAGTCTCTGAGCTGCTCAGGTGGGTGTTGATGTTGGGAGGAGAGCACATGAAACAGCAGCACTAGAAAAATGTGATTCTGGCTGCCATAAAGCACTAAAGCTGCATGCAACCTACTGTTTTTAAGCAAGGGGATAGTTTCTGGGAGTTTCTCACCCTCAATTTATTATTCCAAAATTAAAGAAAGACTTCTGGAAATAAATTCTGAGTTGAAGGAGGGGAAATGTCCCATGAATGATCCCTCCATGTGTGTACCTGTGGGTTGCAGTGACAGATGGCAGCTACAGCTGCCTGCAGCTTACACTGAGCACGAGACTTCCTGCAAATGCCTCTCCAGATTTTTTTTGCTTTATCTATGAAAAAACAACCCCCAAACCCTCTGTGTCTGTCCTCAGTCTGAACTCACCACATCTAGGGAGCCCATCTTGCCTTTTGTGCTGCTTCTCTTGTTGGTGAATGGTCCTTGGGGTCTCTCTTGCCTCTCCCCCACAGCCTCCCCTTGGCCAGTGGATCACTTATCTCTTGTGTCCTTGTTCCCCTCAGATCATGGAGATGGCAGCTAAAGGGATAAAGCCGGTCACCCTGGAGCTGGGGGGCAAATCCCCCCTTATCATCTTCTCAGATGCTGACCTGGAGAATGCTGTGAAGGGAGCCCTCATGGCCAACTTCCTGACTCAGGGCGAGGTGTGTGTCCGTGGGGCAGGGTGGGGTCAGGGTTGGGCACTGGGGCCAGCCTGACACCTCCTGGAAGTGAGGGATGCCCTGAGCTCCCATCCTGCCACACCTTTCCCTGTGCAGTGTCAGAAGGGATGCCCTTGCAGGAGCCAGGGGAGCGTGTCCCAGCAGAGTGTGCCTTAGCCACAGGACACACTCAGCCAGTGGCCCGTCCTTCCCAGACATGGAGCCTCCCTGGCACCAAGCACCCAGCTCAGCACAGCTGCTTCTGTGCCCTAGGCACCAGTCTGGCACTCACGGGTCAGGAGAAGCTGTGCTGGTGTCCCCTGGAAGGGCAGCAGATTCCAGCCTGGTGTGCTGAGCCTGAGGCTTCTTCCCAAATTCGGGATATCCACCTGTGCTGCAGGTTTTGTGTAATCCTGTTGGCACATTTGCTCAGCAGGGTCATTTCTAGGAATTCAGGAGTCAGCTCAAGGTCTCTGCTGCTGGTGACCTGATGCCTTTTTGCCACCTGGTGGCATCAGAACCACGGTGTCCAGCAAGGACTGTTCAGTGCAGTCACGGCCCAGGGTAATCTCCTTGTGTTCCTTGTCCCCAGGGACAAGTTAGCTGTTGCAGCAGCTATGGAGGGGCTTTTCCAAGAGCCTCTGGAGCAGGACCCGAGGAGGGAAGGACTGTGGAGTGCTGTGTTTCCTATTCTGAGCTGCCTGTCCTATGTCCCAGGTGTGCTGCAATGGCACCAGGGTGTTTGTGGAGAGGAAGATCCTGGATACCTTCACAAAGGAGGTGGTGAAACGCACCCAGAAAATCAAAATTGGAGACCCTCTTCTGGAAGACACACGGATGGGAGCCCTCATCAACAAGCCCCACCTGAATCGTGTGCAGGGCTTTATCAAGCAGGCGAAGGAGCAGGTGAGATTGTGATGCTGCCTTGTGCCTGCCCTGAAATGTCTCTCCTGTTAGACAAACACATTGCCAGCTGCCCTCCTGCCCGGTGCCTTCCCACTTAAGCTGGGTTTTTTGGTTGTTTTTTGTTTACTCAGTGGGTGTGTTGGACCACTAGATACAGAAGTCTGTGGGATCTGATGGGATGCATCTTGGAGTCCTCAGAGAATTGGCTAATGTAGTTGCTGAGCCATTTTCCATGATACTTGAAAAGTCATGGCAATCAGGTGAAGTTCCAAGTGGCTGGAAAAGGAAAAACACCCATATTCAAAAAGGGTGGTGGACAAGAGCCTGGGAATTACAGACCCCTCAGCCTCACCACTCTGACTGTGGAAAGATCACGGAACAGATCCTCCTGGAAGTTGTGTTAAGGCATGTGGAGGACAGGGAGGTGATTTGAGCCCAGTACAGGGTGCTGCACCTGGGTCAGAGCAACCCCTGCTATCAATCCAGGCTGGGGGGTGAGCAGATGGAGCAGCCCTGCAAGGAAGGACTTGGGAGTGCTGCTGGATGAGAGGCTGGACATGCCCCAGCCGTGTGTGCTGGCACCCAGAAACCCCCAATGCCCTGGGCTGCATCCAAAGATGTGGGCAGCAGGTGAGGGGGAATTCTGCCCCTCTGACCTGCTCTGCTGAGACCCCACTTCAAGCTCTGGAATCCTCAGCATAGGAAAAACACGTGAGGAAAGGCTGAGAGTTGGGGTGGTTTTGCCTGGAGGGGAGAAGGCTCTGGGGACACCTGATGGCAGGATTTCAGTACGTAACAGGGCCTTAGAAGAAAGAGGGGTCAAATGTTTTAGCAGAGCCTGCTGGGATAGGCCAAAGGCCAGAGCTGGGCATGATGCTGCTGGATGTACCTGCACCTTTTCCTCTCTTGGCTCTTTTCCAGGGGGCAGAGGTGCTGTGTGGTGGGGACCTGTATGTGCCAGATGACCCGAAGCTGAAGAATGGCTACTACATGCGGCCCTGTGTGTTAGGTAGGATCCATCTCAGTCATGCTACCATGGATGTTGTGGGATTTCTCCTGAGAAATGAGTTCACCTTTGTAACCTGGCTCTGTGATGTCCCCAGTGTGGATGGACACTTGGATGGGGGTCCTAGAGAGAGCTGAGGCTTCCAAGAACTGCATCCAGGGAAATCTGTGCTGTTGGAAGGCCTGACAGGAATGGTGCTGTGGTGCTTTTGAGGTGCAGGGTGTGCCTGGCTGCTCTGCCGTGCTGGGTGCTGGCCTCAAGGCTGTGTGGGTTGCAGAGTGCACAGGCTGTGCTGCTGCTTTTCCTCCTGAAGCACTTGTGCTCTGCCACGCTTCCAGGGAACTGCAAGGATGACATGACGTGTGTGAAGGAGGAGATCTTTGGGCCTGTCATGGCCATCCTGCCCTTTGACACGGAGGAGGAGGTTCTGGAGAGAGCCAACGCCACTAAATTTGGCCTGGCAGGTGGTGTCTTCACCAGGTATGACTGGGCAGTGCTGTGGAATCATTCTGGGGAAATACTGCAGTGATTTGCTGCTCCTCTTGCAGTGCCTGGGCATGGGTATCCCCTTCCAGAAAAGCTGAAGCAAGGGATTGCCAATAGGGAAATCTGTAAATGACTGCACATCTCCCATTTCCCCAAAGTGTTGGGTGGGCCCAGCTGTCCCTTGGGTTCCTCCCAGCCTGGCTTGGCCTGCTGTCTGCCTCCCTGCCCCTCCAGGATGCATCAGGAGCCTGCTGTGCTGCTGTTGGCTACTTGCCCCACTCCCTATTGCTGGTGTCCTTGTCCTGCCCTCTGGAATCAAATGCACTTGGAGCATCCTTGGGAATTGGTGCTGCCTCCTTTGAGCAGGCAAAGACAGAGTGGGGCAGGCTGGACTCCAAAAAGCAGCGTGGCCTGCTGGCCTCTCTCCAGTGGCTGGTGCCTGGCAGGGAAGGAGGGGATCCAGCTGAATTACCCTTTTTCCTGCAGGGATATCCAGAAGGCTCACAGGGTAGTGGCTGCTCTCAACGCTGGCATGTGCTTCATCAACAACTACAACGTGAGCCCAGTGGAGCTGCCCTTTGGGGGATACAAGTTCTCAGGTGAGCTCTGTGTCACCTCCCCTGGTACATGCCAGCTCCAGGGGCTGTGAGTGGCCACTGGCACTGCCTGGAGCCGTGTCCTCACTGCAGCTCTTCCCTGCAGGATTTGGCAGGGAGAACGGCCGGGCAGCCATCGAGAGCTACTCGCAGCTGAAGACTGTCTGCGTGGAGATGGGGGACGTGGAGTCTGTGTTTTAGTGCCTCCAGGGAGCATCAGGCAGCTCCTTCCTGCCAGCCAGAGGTGTGGATCATGTACACAGCAATAAAGTACCCTACAGTTGTCAGTGCCCGGGGGAAGCTGAGCTGGAGCAGCGTTTAGCCACCCTGCTCCTGCAAGGGGGGGTGGGACGCACAGGGCTCAGCTCTGACCTGGCTGGTGGACAGTGGGAAGCTCAGAGCACGAGGCACCAGTCTGGATTTTGGCAGCAGCTCCTGCAGCCACAGAGGTGTTACCAGAGGCTTGTCAGCGGCCAAGGCCAGGCCCAGGCTTCCCAGGCTGTGTGCCTTGATTCCCATTGCCTTCCCCCCTCCATCAGCTTCAGTTCTGGCTTCTTAAAAGGTAGGATACTACTCAGTGCAGGTGTAAGCTCTTGGACACAAAGGTATCCTGTAACTATCCTGACCCTGTCTATTCTGTAACCACATAAAAGCTGTGAGTGCAGCATTGTTTATTCCCTCCAGACCCTTAGTAACCTCAAGTTTTGTTTTTTTCTCTCTGTACCTTCCTTACAAGTGGGATAAAACATTGTGGGGAGGGTTGGCTGATAGTGCCTGGGCCAGGCATGGCCCTGAGAATCACCACAAGAGTGGTGGTGAGCTCCAGCACAGAATAGTGAAAGCTATCTCCCTTCCTTCCTGTAGACTTACTGTTCTTTATACACACGATGAAGCAACAACTGCAATTGTTTTCTCATGCCTTTTTTTAGCAATTAAATAAATACTTACTCTGGATCATCTCAGTGTGACATGAATTGAAGGGTCTGTTGCTGTATGGGTTAAATGAGCTGCAAGGTGGCTTTTTGATCACTAAAATTATAAAAGCTAGAAGGAACATCTCTGCCTGACAGCCAGATTTCTGTAGTCCTACAAAATCAGAGTAATTCTAGCATTCTGCAGAGCTTCTTAAGAAACCCTTCTGTAACTTTAGAATAAAAATACAGAATGGACAACTTCCTTTTATTGATAAAGAAAAGGAAAAAAACACAGGAAGCCAAGTATTCTAAAAGAAAACAGAAGAAAAGTCCCTTTAGTTTCTGCAGCTGTATGGGCAGATCCAGCCCAGGTGCTGGCAGGCTGAAAAGATGCCTGTGCCCACCAGCCCAATGAGTGCCACGGAACCAAAAGCCCCTCTCCTTCGGTTTTTGGGATCTGGAAAAAAAAAAAAAAATCAGGATTTGTCAGTTCACTGAAAGTCTAGTCCAGCCTGGAGATGCAAGAGGGAGCAGGAACTAAAGGGGAAAGCCCCAGGGCAAAACAGCTCAGGCCTCTTAGGGTGGGCATGCCTGCTGGATGAGAGCTCTTCCCAAGAGCAGGAAGAGCATGCTGCAGTGTTGGCAGCCTGCACCCTTTCCTTCACACCTGGGTGGGAGCAAAGTCCTGAGGTCCCTGTAGGAGACCTGAGTCTCAACAGTGCGTGCTGCAGGGTACAGTCCTACCTCCTGTGTAGTAGCCATAGGCATAGAGGAGCCTCCCAAGGATCCAGGCCATGCCAAGCCCTGTGGCAAATCGCTGCAGAGAAAGGAGAAGCATTAAAAGGCTTTGGAGGCTTGAGCAAAGTCGTGCAGGCAACCAGGTGCTCAATCTCACTTCAGCCCTGGCCAGTCAGTGAGCCACAGCAAGGACCAGGATGGTGGAGGCAGCTGCTGCTCCAAGCCCTGCTCCAGTGCCTCCAGCAGGTGTTCCAAACTTCCACCTTGACTCTTCATTTAGAGCTCACTCCAGTGTGGCTCCCATTTGGCAGATGTATCTATGCTGCTTCCTTCCCTCTTGAAAAGGAGTCTGTCTTCAGGAAAGACCTAATTTGTCTTTTGATGGCAAAGACAGAGCTACTGGATTTGGCCTCTCCCATCTGCCTGTCTCCTCCCAAGTTGTCTGCATCTTTCAGTTAAAAATAATCCAGGCTTTTGTTGACTTCCTTTGGCAGGGCTTGGAAAAACTGGGCTGAAGGGGTTCTTCCCACTCAGTGACTGGAGGCTGCAAATGCTTTGCTTTGTAACAAAGCACCTTTAGGGGAAGGGCTCTAATAGCTGACACAGCAGATATGAGTTTATTACTTGTGATTTTTCTGCAGAAGACCTTCTACAACTAAATTTTAAGAAGGGGCACTGCTGTTAAGTGTGATGTGGCTACTGAAGGGGCTGTCTTGGTCTCCTGCCCCCCACCCTGCCCAGGTCAGGGAGCCAGAGCAGAGTTCTGCATCACTTACCGGGTGGTAGATTCCTCCAGTGCCTAAAAAGAACAGGAAGGCAGGGTAGACTTCCAATCTGAAAATAAAAGTGAAGAGGTTGTGTTTGTGCTCAGGTTGCTTACAAAGACAAAACAGAAGGGCAGAAACTGCAAACATTCCCTACCAAGGGCATTTTGGGCTCATCATGAGTCTCTGTGCTCAGTGCTGTGGCTGAGGCAAGAAGGGATCTGAGCACACACAGTTTTAGGGGCTTCCTCCCAGCCTGTGCCTCTGTCCCATGACACTCAACCACTCTTTCCATTTTGTTCCCTAAGCCACTCTAAACACTCCCCAGGAGTTGTGCTTCCCAGCACCCCTCTGACGTGTTGCTGCAACCTGTCCACAGGAGCTGGGTGGACTTGGGCCTCTCCCAGGGAGACCTGGGCTGCACAACAGATCAGCACCTTCTGGAAACAAGATTCCTCATGTCTTAACAGCTACCCACGGAAGCAAACTGGTGGGAACTGGGGAAGAAGAGACAGCTTCACAGCACCATCCCACAGTTTAAGGCATGGGAAGGGGCCAGCACAGCCTTCCTGCTAAGCTCTGCAGGGCTGAGCCTGGTTCAAAGCAGTGGCAGCAGCACCTCTGGGGCTGTGGGCCCTGCCCCTCAGCCCTGTGTGTTCCAAGGCCCCTGTTCAAAGGTGTCACTCACGTGTTCTGGTGCGCGCGCTGGATGCAGTTGAATATCTGCCCGTGTTCAGGGTCTGTGCTGTACATGGCTGGGTACTGCCAAAAAACAAACCAGCAGCAAAGCATCAGCAAGCCAGGCCTGCAGCTCCTCTCCCCAGGAACCCAGAGCTGCCTGGGTGTTTGCAAGACCAGCCTGCAGTGGCAGGTTAGAGCCTGTGCCTGCCCTGGGGCCCACAAAAGCTCTGCTCAAGGTCACTGCCTTCCTGGAGCTGCTGTCTGGCTGCAGAGGCCTCCCCAGGCCTCAAATCCAGCCCTCTGTGCACCACACACACGGGGTACATTTGCTCCAGTCCTGACTTGATGCAGCAGGAATGGGATCACCCCAACAGACAGCTGGAGCTGCCCTCGTGCCCACCCCTGCTTGTCACTTCCATGAGTGAAGTGGTGAAAGAGCAAAGGAGGAGTGGTTTGTGCTGAAGCCAAGTGGCACAGCAGCCACTGCATGCCATGGCCCTGACTCACAACTGTCCCCACCCAGCCCACAGCTCTGCCTGCCACAGAGGCTCCCCAATAGATGCTGAGGGAAGGTCACTTGAAAGACTTGTGACAGCGCTCACACGCTCCCCCTGTGTTTGAGAAACCCTCCTGTCACTTTTGTGCCACTACAACCCCTTTCCCCCTAGTGCTGCATCAAGACATATTTGCAGGGAAAAAGGGCTGAGCAGTTTCTTGCCCATCAGTGCTGCCAAGCTCAAAGCCACATACTTTCAGCTGATGTCCCAAATCCCAAGCTGTGTTATGCTTTCCGGAGAGCCATGGCAGCTCCATCCCTTCTACATCTATGTGAAGGGGCAGGAAATGTCAGCAAGGCACCCCGAACTGATCAAGGTGTCAGCAGCCTGGCTCCACACCTTGCCAAGCCCTCACTGAGCACTCACCTCCACGTGGTATTTCTTGCGGGCCTTGCCCACGTTTATGGCGAGGTGCATGACCAGGACAAAGCTGGCAGCCCCGGTCAGCATGACGTAGCCATATTCCTTGGAGAGAACAGCCATGGTGGTGCTGCCAGAGAAAGGGAGCTGTGAATGTTTGGGGAAGTGGCAACACATGATATACGTGCATGGAAGAGTTGCTGAGCTTGGGCCCCAAGAGCTACCAGCACAGGGATTGGCTGAAGGAATTTGTAACTTTTGGAGCATGCAGGAGCCAGGAGTTCTCTGCATAGTTCCTGTCAAGCAAGACTTAAAATCACCTAAGCGTTGGTGGGAAGTGGTGTCTGGAGAACCTTAGTGCAGCCTGGGCAGAAATTCATGGGCCTTTCCAGCCCCAGAGCTAGGGGCCACCAAATGAAGTCAGTTTATTTCCAGCCTGTTCTCTACGAGAGATGTTTCTTCATGCACTGGGAACCACACCTGTGGAACTCCTTGCCAAGGGACATTGTGAATGCAGGCACTTCTGATAAATTCAACAGGAAACTGGGAATAAGAGGTAAGTTGGGAGTTAAAACAGAACCTGAAAACAGAAATTCCCTGAGCTGGAAGGAGCCGGGCTACATCAATGATTAATTTGTACTGCTAAGGTCACCCTTATATAAAATACTAATAAAACCCACCACCACAGCAATGATAACTGAACTTTTGGGTAAAGAGCCGCTGGCCAGATGACCAATGCTCAGCCCTGCAGCTCCCAGGAAGCTTCTCAGAGTCACAAACTGGTGAACAGCTCCAACAACACACACAGCTACTGGCATTTACAACCATCTGCACCAGCGGCCAGGGGACACCAGGGCCTGTGTGGCTTTTGTTTAATGGTTCTGTGCTCCCTCATGCAGGCCTGAGACAGAAGCACGGGGCAGAAGGTGCATCCTGCAGCCTCTGCCATGCTGCCCCACATTCCACATCCTCACTCTCTTCTCATCAGTAGCCCCCATAAGCCTGCCCTGCTGCACACAGAGCTCCACACTGGCTCCCTCCCTGCTGCCAGAGAGCACCAGGGCCCTTCCCCACAACCATCTGCACAACCCCAAACCTCAGACGCCTGTCTGGGCGACCCTGGAGGGTGCTGTGTGACACAGCCCAGCAAAAGACAGCAGAGACCTCCCTCCAGCACCGAGATAATGCTCCCAATCAAACCCAGTCGGTGCCTGTCTCCAGATGGTGCCTTCATGATGTAGTGAGGTTTTGGTGCCTCCCTGCACTGACCCACCAGCACAATCTGTCAGTGTGGAGAAAAACAGGCCACCTCAGGGAACTGCTGCAGTTTCCTCCTGCACCCCTCACAAGGGATCTCTGGGGACCAGAGGGTTTTATTTCTCATTTGCAAAGGATTATCACTGATGGAGCAAGGTGAAGACAGCAGCTGGCTCTGTCCACAGGAAGTGCGGTAAACAATTATCAGTAAGAATATTAAAACCCTGAAGTAATGGAGAAAAGCTAGCTGCATGCACCTGTAATTGAGGTTAGCACCTGCCAGGTGACACACTGAAAACAGAACATGTAGAGCAGGCTGGTGGTCACATTTCCCCCTTTAAATTACAAGGCCGTTGGAGAACCAGGCGTTTTATCTTCCAGCACTAAGTTATAATCTGGGAGTTTATCTTGGGAGCAAAGAGCACGGCAAAGCATTAAACCGGGTGTGTCATAAAACTGCCACTCTTCCACTACCGATATCAAATCGTACCTCAAACCTTTGCTCTCGTAATCTAGTGCCGAATAAAGCGCTCCAAAGTCACCAGGACTCCCACGGTCGTTTCCGGATTGCGACGCCCGGAGTGTTTCCGCAACCTCTGCCCGCGGCTGCAAGGGCTTTGCCGTCACGGGGCACAAGACTCAATTTTTACCTTTTCACCCTGCGGTGCTTCCCGCTGGAGCCACAGACACGAGATTTTGGAGCACGACACGGCACAGAGCGGCAGCAGAAAAAGGGTCCTTGCCAACTCTGCCACAACACTACAGCTCTGTGAGTCAGCAAAGCGTATTAAGGCTCCTTGAACAGCCCCACGCGTGGATTCGGACTGGATTAGCCGATGTAAGCTCGGCCCTCAGAGCCAGCAGAGCGGCAAAAGCGGGCCGAGCCCTGCCCAGCCTGCTCGTCCCGCAGCCCCCTTCCCCCAGAGCCTCCTCCCGGCTGGGAGACGGCGCTTCCTCCGTTTTCCATCGGGACAACCTGCCCCTGGGCGCACCCCCCGGCCCCGCACTCACCCTCAGCGCGGCGCGGAGCAGCCCGGGCTCTGCGGGCCGGAGCCGGGGATGAGGACGGAGCCGGGAGGGCGGCGGCGGCGGGGCCGTCCCTCCGCAGCACCGCCCGCAGGCGGGGCCGGCGCTCGGCCCGGCGCCGTCAGTCTCGTGCTGCGAGAGAAGGGCGGCCTGGGGGTTGCTGAGGGTCCGCCGAGGGGTTTGCCGTGACGCTGTCCCCCAGCAGCTCTGCCCGTGTGCCCAGCACACAGACAGCGTCATGCTCAGCCTTGCCCCCATCCCTTTCTGCCGTTTTAGCCATTGTAGCTGAGAGCTCTCAGCTTTGATTCGCAGTCTACAGTTTAATGGCTCTGAGTTTGGTAATTCACACCGTGCTTGCTGAAATCTCCTGGTTTCCCCTGTTAGCTCACCAGACCCTGCAGTGTGTTTCACACGTGGAGTTGCTGTGCTGGGCCATGTAAGCAGATACTTCCCTTGGCAATTCCCAGCACTTTAAGGATCTTACATCTCCCTGTAGACATAACTCTGACATTTTGGTATGGACACACAACCCATTTCAAAGAATATTTGGAGTGTGTAAGCAATATTTTTGCTTTATAAAACACTCCAGTTTTAGGGTTGTGTGGCACAAAAGCAGAGGTGGACTTTGCCGTTCTCTAAATGTTCAACAGTGGAGGCACGGGTGGCCTGGCTGCACTGCAGGAGCACAGAGGGTTCTTTTGCTGTCACCAGTGTAACGGGAAAGAAAGGAAGAACCAGTGGGATCCTGGGCTCCTAAAAGTCCTGGTTTTAATCTCTTTGCCTTTCCAAAGCAGGAAGTTCTTAGATTCCCTGGGGCTCCAGCTGCGTAGGCTGATCCCTGTAAGCCCTGCTGGGTTTTTTGGCCAGGAAGGGCCTGGTGACCTCCTTGGCTACAGCACAGTGCCAGGACCTTTCCCATATTTCAGTACCTTTTCAAGCTAGTCCTTCTGTCCCTACTGTTCTGTGGTCCCAAGGTAGGGTGGAAGTGGAAATACCTGGCACTGTGCACACCTCTCACACCTGCCTAAAATGAATATTTTGCCCATATCCTGAGTCCCAGTGGCAGAAGACTGGGCAAAGAACAGCAAGTGAAACTGAAGCACAGCAAGTGAAACTGGAGCACAGATACTTCCTTCTCTTGCAGTTTTATTTCACTTACCAAAAAAGCCCAAGAAAATCTAGGGTGGGACAACATGGGAAATCAGGCAGGAAGGGCCTGCCTTTGGTTCCCACAATGGGAGTTTAGAAGGGCTGGTTCTAAGTGGCTGTGTCTTCCTCCTCCTCCTCCTCTTCCTCTCCCTTTGAGGCATGGGCCTCGTAGATGACAGCACAGACGCCGGCCAGCCAGGCTGCCGTGGTGCCAGCAAGGAATATGCAGAAGCCAACGAGGACCAGAAAGACATAATCCTGCTTGTGCAGCTGGGTCAGGCAGCTGAAGTGGAGCTGTGCCTCTGCTGCTGGCATCCTCAGGGCACGCAGCCCTGCTGGGGTGTAGCAGGTGATGTTGTCAGCATCTGCAGAGAGACGAGCAGAAGCAGCACTCTCTAGCCTGTATCATAATTTAATGAATAGGAGTGCTGGTAGAAAAATTATGGGAGTGCTTGCTAAAAGCCTGAAAAATAGCTGCAGACTTCGTGGCCTCCTTCCCCCCTCATTGGCTTGGGTAAAATCTGACATCCAAACTCGTGCCAAACCTGTGCTAAATCCTTGCCAAACCACAATTCCCAGGTTGCTAGAGTATTTTTTGCAGTGTTGGCTCCACAGGATTATATTGCCCACTGGATTATGCAACTGTGGCAAACTGCTGTCCCTGCCCTCCTCATCTCGCTGATTGAGCACTTTCATCTTCATGTAGGAACACCTGTGTTATTTTTTTAAATCTCAAACACCTTCTGAAGTGATACAGCCTAAATTATGCTGGAATAATGAGTTGGCTGTGGGTTTGACAAGGAGGGTTGCTTGCAGTCAGGCACAGCCTTATCTGCTCTGTGAGGCAAGCAGAGGCAACTCATCAATGATTCAGTTCCACTGAAATAACAACCATACCCTGTCATATTGCAATATCTGCAGTGATAAAACAGGTGCTGCCTGCTCCCTTTCAAGTTAGTGAAGGATCAGTGTGGTGCAGGGTGTGCCCTCAGCCATCCTCTGCAGGTTTTGAACCCCACAGGCACGGTCACTGTGGTGGGGACACTGCTTGATGAACAGGATGGAAGAGCCTGAGGGAAAGGGAGCACTGCTCCACGCATGGGATGGAAGGGGAGTGGTGGAGGGGAACGAGGCATGGGGGATTTTTATTGCATTACACTGTAATGTATGTGGCTGAGTATGTTGTTCATGCTGATCTTGCTACTGGTCCTGAGTAAAACTGAAGAGCTTTTATCTCTGTTACCCAAATCCATCCAAACTTGGGCAGCTTTGTGTCAGCCCCCAGGCTGAGCTCAAAACTCTGATGCACAGATATTTCTGAAGGTCAGGAGCCTTGCTAAAGGCCAGGCTGGGGTCTGCTTGCAGCAGGTTCCAGGGCTCTGTCCCAGTATCCCTTTGGCCTGGAACAACCCTCAGGTTAAGGCTGCCTTTCCTCCTCCTCCCCTCCCCAACAGCCTGCAATGAGCTTTATTCTCCTGTTGCAGGGTTCAGAGGGTTATCTCCAGTCTCACTGCTGAGAGCTGTACTTTATTCCACTGTTCCATAATTGCCTGTATGTGGAAAAAGAAACCCTTTATTGTCTATAAGGAGCTTACTACATCTAATAAAGGCACTGAGACGTCTTTAATTCAGTTCTGTCCTAACACCAGCTTCCAGTTGCCCTTCCCTTTTTTCCCCCTTGGGCTCTTTTGTGGCCCTTTCTTATTCAGTGGACAGACTTTCCCAACCAATTTCTCTCTTGCAGCTCTCTCTCACCATTGTGCCCTGCATTACTGAAACCAAAGATTTTCTTGTTCGTGCGTGCTGTGTCGTGTCTCTTTCCAGTCTGGAAAAGCTAAGTCCATGTGCTGCAGCTGCAAAGCAAAACATCACCCTTGGGACCAGTGTTTTTATGGGAAAGGGAACTGGTGATTGCCCTGCCTCGGCCTCTCCAAGGCCCAGTTATAGAATCTCTCAATATGAAGGGCAACAGCTGACTTTGGGGTGGAGACAAGGCAGGAAATTCAGAGCAATGATTTTCCCAGTGCACATCTCCCTGGAGCTCTGTGGGGCTCCTCGTTCTTGGCGCTGCAGCCATGGGGTGCTGTGCAGGCACAGGGACACCTGAGGCTGGATCCAGGTGTTTTAGGGAAGCAGCGGTGTCCCAGCTGTACATCACACCTCCCTGGCTGAGGATGTGAAAAAGAGGGATTCTTCATGTGTGTAACCCAGCTGCTCCCATCCCTGGTTTGTGTGACAGCAGAAAATGGCATGCAGTGGCACAGCCCCGTGAACTGAACTTTTGGGAAGGAGAGAACAGAGGACTGTCTATTCCACACAGATCTGTGCTCACACAGCCCTCACCTGGAAAATGCACATCACTCTCCATCATCCAGGTGATGAAGTCCAAAAAGGAGCAGTTGCAGTGCCACAGGTTGTCACTGAGCCCCAGCAGCCTCAGGTTGGGCAAGTCCCGGACAGTGCTGGTGTCCAGGAAGGTTAAGCCCGTCCGGCTCACATCCAGGTGCCTTAGCCAGGTATTGTTGGCAAAAGCATCCTTCTCGATGGCCACAAGGTTGGGATTGTCTGAGATCTTCAGTACCACCAGGCTGAGGAGGTGGGAGAAGGTGCTGAAGGTGACCTGTGTGAGGTTGTTGAAGCTGAGGTCCAGATAGACAAGCCTGGCCACGCCAATGAAAGTGAAATCCAGGTCATCCCCCAAGAGGTTCTTTCTGCAGTCCAGATAGACCAAATCAGCCAGGAAGCTCAATTCCACAGCGGGCAGGTACGAGATGTTGTTTGCTGCCAAAATCAGCTGCCTGGTGTCCAGAGGGATGTCCACAGGAAACTCCTGCAACTGCTGCCCAGTGCAGTTCACCTCCAGGTACTGACAGCTACAACTGCTCGGGCAGCTGATCCCCTGCAGTGCCATCCCCAGAAGAAACACGAGGCTCAGGGACCATGGGCTACCTGAAGGAGACATGGTTTGAGCCCTTCCAGGCCGCTTAGCCTTTCGTGGACTGCAAGCAGCCCTGTGGCAGCTGCACTGCCCTCCCAGCCATGCCGAGGAGGTGTCCGGCTGCAAGGCTGTCGGGAAGCACTCTGTGGCTCACCTGAGCCCTTGGCAGAGTGCCCAGCTGGAAACCGAGCCTGGCTTTTACATGGGCAAGTGCAGAACAGTGGCTGGAGCGTCTCTGTCTCACACTCGGTGCCAGGTGACACCTCCGTGATGTCAGTGGCTAGCAGAAGCTGCCTGTTTTCGGGGACACTGCTGTGACCTTGCTGACCTGCTTCCAGCTGAGTGGAGGTGCAGGAAGCTGTGCGTGGTGTGGGAGCATCGGAACTTTGTGGGGAGAGTGTGGAACAGCCCAAATTTTGTCAGAAATGGTGTCACACTGCAGGGGGTGGTACTGGTTAGGCAAGAGTCCTGTGCAATGCTGGGCTGGCATTGTCTCCTTCCAGGAGCCAGGAGGTTTTATGCCATCTGGAGTAGCGTGTCCAGGTCTGGAGATCCCGGCACAAGATGTGGAGATGTTGGAGCCATGAAGATGCTCAGAGGGCTGGAACAACTCTGGTGTGGGGACAGGCTGAGTTGGGGCTGCGCAGCCTGGAGAGGATTATGGTGAGACCTCACCTAAAGGGTTTTTGGAAAAGAGGAAGAGTGACTCATTACAAGGGCAGGTGATGAAAGAACAAGGGGGAATGGCTTTAAACTGAAAGAGGGCAGGTTTGGAGTGGATATTAGGGAAAAATTCTCCCCTGGGAAGGTGATGAGGCACAGGGTGCCCAGATAAGCTGTGGCTGCCTGGAAGTGTTCAAGGCTAGGTTGGACAGGGCTTGGAGCAACCTGGGATAGTCGAAGGTTCCTGCTCATATCAGACGGAAAACTAGGTGAACATTAACGCTCCTTCCAGGAATTTTATGACTCCTCCAGAGGCCGTGACCGCCCCGCCCGACAGAACCGGAGGGACGCGGCCGTCTCACCCCGCCCTTCCCCTCACGGCCAACGGCCGCGGCGGGGCGGGGCCGGCAAAACCACGCCCACTCGCGACAGCGCGGCCGCTGATAGGTTGGGAGAGGGCGGGAACGCGCTAAGCCCCGCCTCCTAATGACGATACGATCTCTGATAGGTCAGTGCGGGTGCGGGGGCGGGGAGCGGCGGATTCAAGCAGCGGGCGCGCAGCGGTGCCGCCGTTGTGTCACTGCCGCGTCCCCGCCATCGCCGTGTCCTCAGCACGTCCCGCCGCCGCCATGGAGACCATGACCTTCCCCCGCTACAGCCCCGACGACATCATCAGCTACCTCCGCTCGCACATCCTGGAGGGCGCCGAAGCCCGCAACCTGGTCAAGGGCGACGTGTTCGGCAACCCCAGGGTGCGTGAGGGGGGCGCGGGGCGGCTCCGCGGCCCGCTGGCTGCCGTGTGGGACGGAGCCGCTGGCCCGGTGACCGCGGGGTTGGGTGGAACGGGCTCGGAGCGGTCTCGGGGCGCTCCTCGGGCCTCGCCGGGAAGCGCCGTGGTGTCGCCAGCGGCACACGGCCTGCCTTCCCCGGTTCTGCGGGAACTCGGTAAAAATAGCCACGGCGTCTAGCTCCAGCATCTTGCCGGATCCATTCAGTGCTTTTAAACCCTTCCCTGCTCCACCCGCTTTCATCACCCTGAGCATTTAGTGTTAGCGAGTGAAGAAAAGCGGCTGTAAAGAGGAGTTGATGCCTCCGAGTGATTCCTGGTGCTGTTGCTTCGTTTTGAGCTGCGGTGAGAGGGGTCTGGCCCTGCTTGTGTAGATGGTTTTTAAGAAGCAAAATTGATCATGGGTTAGTGCTATAAATGAAAAATTGTTTGGCTTGTAAGTGATTTTTTTTCATCTTCATTTTAATAATCTAATGAAGGGCACTCGTTGCTACAGGATTATCATTTCTGTGACCTTTTTTAGGTTTTTGGCATTGCTTGGTTTGGAAATTGCTCAGCAAGCAGCAGTGTAATGAAAACCAATGCCTGGCATACACATTCAGGGCTGTAATTGCCCAAGCTGACTGCTGCACCTTGAAACCGAATTATCAACAAATAATGCTTGAACTGAAAAATGTTAAGAGTGAAACTCTGTTGTCTTGGTTGGTCAGTGAATTCAGCCTTCATGTGTTAAAAGCTGAATGCTTTCATGGCCTGGCCTGGGAGCTCTGAGTAATCAAACTTAGGGAATCCTGACTCATGTCCTCTGTTCCTGCAGCTTGACGTTTTACACCTGATTTACCTGAGAATCCTGCAGAAAGTGTGTGGGATCCGACTGGAGCACGCCTACATGGTAGGGCTGCCTGTGCCAGGGGTGATGGGATGTGAAAGGAAAAGAATACTGGCTTTACCTGTTCTTTGGGATGCTGAGGGTGCCAGAAATGTCTGTAAGGTCCAGGAGGGAGTGGACAAGCTTTTGGAGGGATACCATGCCTTGAAAATCCATACTGGACTCCTGCCTTTGGCCATGGCTGGAGGAGGTTGGGCTGACCTGGAAGGAATGTAAATGTTGCTTTTGATACTTGATCATCTCCGCTCCTTCATTAACTGAGGGGAAAGTGAGGAGAGGCTGATGCCCAAAGTTAATTTACCTACTGTCTCTGTTAGGCAAGAACTGATTCTTGAAAATGACAGTAAATGGTTTTGCCTCATGGCTTTTCTGGATAAACTGAAAAGGAAGAGTATTATGTGCACAAGGTACCTCTGTTCTTCCCAGGCAGTACCAGCACCTGCCATGCTGTGCTGTGAGGTTTAAAATGTCAGAGAAAGGAGACAGTGTGCCACTGCATTCTCCTCCTGACTTCTTCATGAAGCAGCTGAGTGTGTCAGTTTTGGGGTGTTTAAAGAAGGAGCTTCTTGCTGGTAGCTGTATAATGTTGTGCTGCACAAGTTATGAACAAATTAAAACAGAGTTTGGATTCAGTTCCAGAGTTTGTAATGTTGCTGCTTTAGTTATTATTGTATTTTTTTGTCTTTTCCAGCCAAAGTTGACCCTTAAAATTGTTGACCCCTTGTTGACATTTTTCAGCCTTTAACATGCTTTCCCTCTGGATGGGAAGATCATCCTCAGTGTTCTTAATCTATGGGAATTATTTTATGCTGTGGAAAAAGCTGTATAATTTTTGTTTTAAGTATTCTCTACTTATGCACTGACTCTCTTTTTTTTTACTCTTTTTACTCTTTAGATGCCCCTCAACGTTGACATAATGTACCCACAGATCCATGAAGGCTTTCTGCCTGTCTGTAACTTGTATATTCACATGTAAGTAGAAGATGCTTGCCTTGTGCTTGCTCTGGGATGAGAGGCCAAGATCTATTTTGTAGCAAATGGGTACAGGACAAGAACAGAGCCTTGCCACAGAACCTGAGTCAGCCACTGCAGCTGAGGCTGTGTTTTGTTCTCCTTGCAGGGAGCGCTTGCTGCCCATGTGCCGGATCAGTGACTTCCAAATCGCTGATGTTTTAAACCCAAGTAAGCAAGTGCCTTGTAATCCTTGTGTTTCCTGGGTGCTGCTTGCTGTTCCAGGTGCTTTTTCTCCTTGGGCCTAGCCAGATGGGCATCTAGTGTGGAGAAGTGTCCTTCTGGCTGCTCTTCTGACCCTTAAACAAGCTGGTTCTAGTGGACAGCTCTTGTTCCTTGTGTGGGCTGGTGCAGGTCAGTAACTGAGGACAGCTTTGAATGCTGTGAATCTCTTGAACTGCTGGTCTGGAGGTGAACTCTGACATGCTTATAACAGTGTAATAATAGATGGGGATGAAAATTACCCTGACAGCTCTGGAATGCTTTAGGATTTCTCATCTCTGTGCTCCACTACTTTCAATACCAATTGTGATTCTGCCACAACACAGACAACTTGGAAAATGCTGCTCTGAAGAAATCTTTCACTTCTGGACCTGTCTTGTCTAAATTCAAAGCTTTTGTAATCATCTTTCAGAAAGTTTTCTTGGAATAAAGACAGAAAGTCCCTGCAGTTCAAATTGCTGCCTTCAGTTTGGCTGATAGCTACAGAAAGGTTCTCTCTTCAGAGCTGTAGTTCAAGACTGACACTCTTTCTCCCTGGCTGCTGTTTGAATGGGAGGCTGTGTGTTAACAGCCTTTTCTCCCAGGTGCCATTATTCATTTGTTAAATTACACAGAATTACTAAGTGTTGGTAACCAGCTTGGTGCTGGATTTTGTGTAGTCTGAAATCTTTGCAAGCTGAGTGGGGGAAGAACTAATTTGGACTGTGGTTTGTAATTTCTGTCTCCTTGAATTACACTTGGCCCAACTTTTTTGAAGCAATTGCAATGCTTTTGGAAACCAGCTCAGTGAGCTCTTGCAATTCCTGTTTCAGAGACCAAGAGGACTGTTCGCTTCTTGAGTGGCATCCTCAACTTTGTGAACTTCAGGGAATTCCGGCGTGAGGTCTACCTGGAGCTGCAACAGAGCTATGTAAGATTAGGTGCTGATTTCTTCCAGATGCCTATAAAAGTTTAACTGATATTAACCTAAAACTAAGAGCATGAAGATTGCAGTTTAACATCAGGTTTATGTAACACGTTGGGGTGTTCAATGTCACCAAGCAATTCAGGAAAGTACTGATTATTACTTAGGATATTACTGAAAGGTGTTTGGGGTTTTTTGTGGGTTTTTTTTTTTTGTTTTTTTTTTTTTTTCCCCAATAACTTATTGGGTACTTCAGCCTGGTAAGTGAAGGATTGAGACCTTGTATAATTTTGAGAAAAGTTAGGTGCAAAAGTTGCTTATAGGCAACTTCTGTTCTGAATGTAGTTCATTCCAAAGTAGTTCAGAGATTGTGCATTTCACGTGAAACAACGAGCAAGGCTCTAATAAAAGCCCAGAGAGAAATCACATTTCTCTAAAATTAAATATTTAACTTGCAGAAATTAGCTATGGAGAAAAACCAACACCTGGAGGCTGTGAATCGGGAGGCAGCACTGAAGCTGGAGAAACTGAAGTGAGTGTGAGGAGTCAGCACTGTGAGATGCACTGCTTGCCTTTCCTGCTCAGGCTGGATCAGTGGGCCAGTTGTGTGGGGCTCAACAAGTCTGAGTGCAGAGCCCCATTCTTGGGTCATAATAACTTGGTTCAGTGCTACAAGCTTGGGAAGAGGGGCTGGAATGTGGCCCAGCAGGAGAGGAGCTGGGGGGTGCTGGTTGGCAGCAGCTGAACA